AGAGAGACAGGAAGTGAGAAATCACCCCCCAGGGGGGATGACCTACTATGTAATCCCTTCTCTTCCATTCTCCTCTGGGGATCTTGGGCACGCACGCACACGCACCCAGTGTGAGTTTAAGCCATCAGGTCCGGGACTCGAACCACAATCAACTACATGGGAGTCCGCGACATAGCCATTACACCAACTGCTAGTTCCTGAACCCACATTCTTGATCTTATTATAAGTTTGGGACAATACCATGGCGTGCCTTCTAAACACAGAAAGATTTCCATGGAATTCAAGAAATCTCTTAAGCAGTTCTAATTTTAGAATTTAGGAGAGGATGGTGACGGTGAACACAGGTGGGGGGCAGCAGGAGGAACTGAACAAGGCCCCTATTCTGCGTAGCACAGGCCCCTATTCTGCTTAGCACAGGGGCTGGTAACAGGATACTCCTGTCTAAAGGACACGTGGGGTGGAGAAATCAGGTGTGGCTGGATGGCTTTTCATCACAGTCACATCATATAACCCCAAACACACACTCCTAGCCTAGGACAAAGGTCTCCCCACAGCAGGACCAAGTGCTGATTCCTAGGCAACAAGAGAAATATTTAATTTTAGCATCGAGCTTTAAAACAAATAAATAATAAAGTTAATAATTAAAAGAAGACATCCATACTCCCTCAAGTTTGGCCAAAATTCTCCAGATTAGGGCCAGCAGGTGGTGTGATGGTTAAGGCACTGGACTCCCACATGGCTGACCACAGTTTAAGTTCCAGACACAGAGGTTTAAAAATCACCCTAGGCATGGGTGTGCTGAGTTCCCAGGGTCCCAGGAGGAAAATGGAGGAGAGGGGATTGCAGTCTGGCCATGCCCCCGAAGATGATTTCTCACTTTCCCTCTTTCTGTATCTTTCTGTCCTCTCTCCGTCCAGGGACAGCACAAGCCTTGTGGCAAAAACCTTAAATAAAAAGTTAAAAAAAAAAAAATTCCCTAGATATCGCTGAATTCTATGCTAGTTCAATTACTTAAAAGCACCAGCACAAATATGCTGTTCGCAGCAGTTAGCCCGTCCTTCCCAGGACTAGGGTGGAAACTCCAAAAAGATTCCAGGCCCTTCTGAATGCAGTCAACACTGTCTGAACATCAGAAGGCTGTCAACAGTCACTTCCAGACTACTAGCCCCCCAGATGAACAGCTCTGAGCCTTCCCTGCAGCCACACAAATATTTTGTCTTCCTTTTCCTTTGGGACCAACTCACACCAGAGGACTCGAGGTGATTTATGTGGGTGGCAGGAAAGACAGCCAGTAAGCGATTTTGCACACCTCCATTCATTACTGACCACCACCACAACAGGGGGAAGGAAGGGGAAAAACACCAGGTCTCACTGTCAAGGAATCAATAAGCTATTTAACAGCTGCTGCTTGTGTTAACATGGTGCTAGGCCCCAGTGAAAGCAAAGTGAGGATGGCTTCAGCACCCCACCCCCTAAAAAGGATAAAGCACACAACCCGACAGCCAGGGACTTAGTCAGAGGAAGGCTCTTGAAAACACAGCACGAGGGGCTGGCACATGGTGTGGTGGTTAAAGGTACTGGATTCCCACATGGCCAACCACGGCTCCAGTACCGGACCTGATGGCTTGCTTTCTCGCATTCCCTTTCTCTCTCTCTTTCTGTCTGGTCAAATTTTAAAAATAATAACAAATGGAAATAAATAATTCTTTTTTTAAAAAAAAAAAAGATTTATTTATTTATTTATTTATTTCCATTTGTTATTGTTATTTTTTTTTCTTTCTTTAATAGAGAGAGAGAGAAAGGGAAAATGAGAAAGCAAGCCACCAGGTCCAGGACTTGAACCATGGTTGGCCATGTGGGAATCCAGCGTCCTTATCCACCACACCACCTGCTGGCCCCAGAAATAAATAATTCTTTAAAAAAAAAGAAAAAAAGAAAGAAAGCACAAAAAATCCTGCCTAGCTTTTCTGAGTCTTGAAGTCTTTTGGTTTTAAAAGAACAGATGATACTAGGCCTTGAAATTATTCTATTTTTATTGTTTTCTTTTTTTCTCCAAAGAGGAAATTAACTCCCTTCCTGCACTGCTGTACATTTTATAGAATCAAAAGCCACTAATAAAACCATTTTTCTTACCCTCTTCTTCACCCTAGTCCAACATCACTTCCAAGAAAATAACTTAAAAATGTTGTCAAGATGGCATTCCACATGGGTTTCCAACATTTGTGTTTCTCCCTCAAAGCAAATGGAAAAGGGACCAAAGGCATTATAAACCCATCAAGGGAGTTTAAAAAAGAGAAAAAGGATAAGCGGGTCATTAGAAAGTCAGCTGATTTCAGATATTAAAAACTGACTTATGGCTGACAGCTCTGTGCATCTGTGTGCTACACCCTGCCTATCCCATAGGCCCCAACTTAAACACTGTTCAATTCCCTTTTAAAATGTCACTGCTGTCTAATCCATGAAGAAGTCATTTAAGAAAATTCCATGGAAAATATTCTTCAATTGTCTTAGGCATAAGCAATTTGGGAAAATCAAACACTGCTTTTTTTTTTCCTTTTCTCTTTCCCCTGAGAGTCTAAAACTCTGAAGGAACCAAGGCAGATTTTAGTCTTCCTTGCATTTCAGGTCCACCTTGCCTTTTTTTTTTTCCCCAAAAGGTTTTTGTTATAGGCACATGCGCTCGCCAGGAAGACAGAGAGCGATAGAAGGCAAGAAATCACCCCCTTCCAGGGGGCATGGCCACACCGCAATCCCTTCTCCTCCATTCTCCTCTTGGAATCTTGGACACACACACACATATGCACCCGGTGTGAGTTTAAACCATCAGGTCTGGGACTTGAACTGCAGCCAACTACATGGGAGTCCAGTGACACAGCCATTACACCAACTGCTGGTCTCCCACCTTGCATTTCAAATCGTCCACTGCCAAAACAAAGCAAACCAACAAAAACCCTTTAAAATCAACCATTTCCCATGGGCTGTTGAACAAACCTTACTAAACTCAAAGCGAATGAAGTCAGGACCCACAAACTTGAGATCCAGCACTGACAGTCTCAGATAAGAAGTCTTTATTTTTCGCTGGAACCTTATGGAGAGAAAAAAACCCTCACCTTGCCACCCACCAATCCCTGGCCTGGGGGCACTGTGGGGCAGCACAGGGTGGCAGGTGGGAAGGAGGACAACCCCCTCTTTAGGCAGGGTTTCTTCTAAAGGGCTTTGGGTTCAAACCTATGAACGGGTAAAAAATGAACCTGGATTCTGGATTAAAGAACAAAGAGAAAAAACTCCAGGTGTGATTATCTGGGGCTTCCGTGAGCAGATCTGTTGGATCACTGGGTTCTCTGGAACCACTGAGGAACTGAAAACATCCATTTAGGCCCTCCAAAACACACAGGCGGCATTACTAGCCCATCTCAAATTCCAACCATGGAGATCAGAGCACACCATGCGTGCTTCCAACCAAATCCGGTTTGACTATAAAGCGTGGAGAATTTAAGTTAACAATAGATACCGGAGTCCAAGGAGGGGGGCACCGATCTTTGTCTCAAAAGAGCATTTGGATAATTCAATGTGGATTGGGGGCAAGGGAACGAAAGGGGCTGTCTTTGAACAGGGAATAATCCCTCTAATTCCAAGTGGTTTTATTCCTGGGCAAGCAGGGTCTGGCTGCAGATTGTCAATTTCTGACAAAAGACAAAACTCGATCTGCAGAGGATTTCAAAACGGACAACACCAGGAGGAAGACACCTGGGTGAAGTGGTGGCTATTTTAAAAGGGGACAGCAGTCTGTGACAGCTGAGCATTCCTTCTCAAAGTCCATCTCCAAGCCAGAGCCTCTCCAAACCTTCCCTCATCAGACAAAAGCTCCTCCAGGAACCCAGGCAGCGGCTGAAGAGGGGCTGTCCACACCCACTAGCACACAGCTTCCCAAACCTGCCCACTCCTTTTGGAAGCAGAGCTTTTAATTAAACGCCACCTCCCCGGATCTGTTGAGGCAAACTGGGGCTGGGCTAGCGCCAAAGAGGAGCTCCCTAAATACACAAGAAAAACAATTCCCCCCCCCGCCCCCAATCCCCACCTCCAGCCAGCTCGCCGCTGTTTTATTTCCTTCGTATGAGTAACACGGCGCCCTGGTCTGTCTCTATGCACCAGAAAATCCACATGTGAGGATCAGGTTATCCCCAGTCCCACCCTTTGCAGGAAAAAGCCAGGGTGTTGTTCCTCGTCCTAACACAGGCATGCTCCTACTCACGCACACACAATCTTCACAATCCTCCAAAAAAAAAAAAATTAGAGAGTGTGTGTGTGTGTGTGTGTGTGTGTGGTGTGTTTGGAGGGGAGTGGATCCAGTTATTTAGAAAACCCCAATCTTGCCTTCAGCCTGGGAGCTTCGGCTGGGGAAGGAGGAGCCCCTGCAAGGCTACCCTGGGAACTTCTGCTCCGCGCCCCCTGGGAGGCTGAGGGAAGGAGTGCATGGCCTCACCAGCTTTGAAGAGCCTAATTAATAACTAATTTGTTCTGCCTCCCTCCACTCCAGGTAGACCCGACAGCCAAGGGGGATGAGGAGGCCTCTCACACAGCCTCCCAGGCCGGGCACTCTTTCGGAGGCTGGCCAGAGTCCCCACTGCCTCCCCACCCCGTACCCCAGGAGAATCAGGTGTCCACCCGGGTATCCAGCCTCCAGAGATAGACAATGGAAAACTTACAGCAGGGGCCCTCAGTCCCCAGGGGAAGGAGACGGTGCCGTCCCCTGGGACAATGAGCGGGGAAATGGCAGGGGACATCAGACACCCCCAGAGAAGCCACCAGCCCGATGACCCAGCAGAGCCCCGAGCACTGCCCCGGGTGAGCAGGTGACACTCGGGCCGCCGAGCTCCTGCAGGTGGCGGGCGGCCGCGGCGCAGGCAAGGGCCGGCCAGGCGCTGGCCCAGGCTGGAGGCGAAGCGCGGCGGCGAGGTCAGTGCGCGGAGGCCACCGCAGCCGCGCCCCCGGCGTCCTACCTTCATGTCGCTGATGATGGTCTGGAAGAGGCCTCCGAGCGCGCTGCATTCCTTCTCAATCACAGCCTCCATTTTCCCGGCGCCGGCAGGGAGAGGACACACACGCGGGGCCGCTGCACTGCGCGCGGGGCCGGAGCTCTCTCACCGCGGGAGGAATTCCACCCTCCGACAGACCCACCTCCGACTCGCAGCCTTTTCTGCAGGGGGGACGGAGTGCACGAGCTCGACTGTTCTCTGCCCAAAATAACACCACCAGTAATTTAAAAAGCCAAACCGCTCTGTAGGGTGATTCCCTTACATGCACTGCTCGGCTCCTGGCCTTAAAAATGCCCGAAGACTGACAATCAGGCCACCACGGGTGCCCCTGACGGAAAAGGCAAAGCCCATCTTGATGCAGAGAAAACCGCCCGCTGACCCGGGGCCAGCGCCATTGAAAAAATACAAAATTTTCAAATTGAAGAAATGTTTTTGAAAATATTTAAAAATCGCCAGATAGCAGCGCGGGTCTGCTCGCGGCGCCCGGATCTGTTGCTCGCAGCCGCGGCCGCCGCCTCCTT